ACCGGCCGAGGCTGGGCTAATACAGACGGATCCCTGGGTTGCCTTCCCACCGCCTTGGGAAATGCCTGTTTCTTCTCCGGAGTTTTGTTTAGTCTCCGCAACATCTTAAGAGCAGGCCGATAACTTGGAGCGCAGAAACGATTTCCTGCCCTAACGAGCTTCCCGTTTGCAGCCCTAACGAAGGGGAGGTGGAAGCAGCGACTCTACCCCGGTACGTTGGGCTCTGCCAGGCCCCCTCGTTGCCCACCCAAACCCTTGGGGGACTCCGCGCATTGCTGGGTTCAGGCCAGCGATGCGTGCTCAAAGGCTGGATGGTTTTTTTCCTTAAAACCCTGGAAATGAGACCAAAAGTGCCTGGCCGCTTGCGAGGGGTCTCGTTGCAAGCCGCTCCGGAGGAACCAGTGGTGTTATCAGGCTCGATCAAGGTCCATCTCGCTGGGGAACGCACTTGTGGGCAAGAAGACACTATTTTAAAATTAAAAAAGGAAAGTTATTCAGTAGATTTCTAAAAAAAAAGCTGCTTTTTTTTTTTTTAGGACAGATTATTGTCGACGGTGACCTAATGGAAAAATACTGATAGGGTTGTGCTCATAAATTTCCCCAAGTAAACAAACGCTCAGCCTTTGCCACGGCCTCCGAGGACAGCCGAGAGGATTTCGGTCAGGTTTTCGAGTCGGTCTAAAGTCCTCATTGCTGTTTGCCTTAAAAGGAAGGCAGGCTGCGAAATTCCATTGGGACCCTTCCCGTCTGAGCCGGGCAGAGCCGATGCTGCCCGATGAGCTGGCGGGCGACAGGTTAGGGAAAAAAATAAAATCAAATCAAATCCCCTTCCCCAGCAAGCAGCTTCCCATGGGCAGCCCCCAGCCCGGCGTCTCGCTGGTAGCACCGGCGCCACAACGGCTTTTCAAAACCAAATTTGGCTTGTATGGAAAGCTGCGCTCAGCTGAACCCCGAAACCCCCCGCCAGATTCGGGGAGGGGAAGGAAGGCGAGGCAGGTTTCACCGGGCGCGCTCCTCCCTGCCCCTGTTTTCTCAAGGTTGCCAGGTGTTGCGTAAAATCGGAGGAAAACAGATCCGCCTTCCCCGAGGTGTGCCAGGGTCGGGTTTTCGGTGGGGTTGAGGGGAGGG